AAACCGTTTACGTTATTGACAGAGGATTGTACGAAACGCAGTTACTCGCACGCGTTCATTTCAAATTCAATTTGGCGTCGCATCAGTCTGCGACACACAACGTCAATCCCTATGCTAATTCAATTTTCCTGGCATGGTATATGCTTCTAGAGTGAGACTTTCTACCTTCCAAGTGGCACACATGTGTATTCAACTTAAAACGATATGTCTTTCAGTACATTTCTAATACACTTAATTAAAGAAAATTTAATAGACTGTCCATCCAATAACTCATTAATTATTTCGTAACCAAAATTTTCAACAAGATAATTGTAATCCTCAGAAATGATGGATTTCTGTTTAGAGGCAATCGAGAGTAACACCGTAAGTGAAATCGCACTCTGCTTTAATGATCCAAAGTCGTTGATATGCCAAACACGATATTCTACTTAATGCCATCAAAGCAGGAAACCCTATCCGTAGATGAAGCTTCACTTCTGAAGAAGCATCCATAAACTATCTTCCATGTTTCCCGTGCTCTCATCTAACGGAGAGCCACCTCCCATGGGATAAGACAGGAGAACCAGCCACCCTTCTTCCTAAATTCTTCCTTCCGTGGTCTCGACGGCAAATTGATAGATCGCCCTATGACCCGCAGTGATCTCGCACGGTTGCATGTGGGAGATACGTCACGTGATTTGATGGATTCGACCGCGATTTTATCATATAAAAGGACAAACCATGTAATAAAAGATAAAATAAATGATATTTACACGCGCGCTCGCATGTCTGCACGCTACATCGTTCAAGTCCGCTTCACGGAATTTCCATGCCTTGAAAGATAGAAAACTTTTATACGCAGGTACTTCTCGAAGTTACGTAAAAGACTGAAGAAAGATTACCGTGCAGGAAATGCGACACGTGACAGCTCTATGAATATATCTCCGATGGAATTAAGTGTGTGAAAGCAATAAGTAACATCTTATTTTTCAAGCAATTTTAAACAGAATGAAAGGAATTCTTTTCGCTTGTAAGAGTTTCACTAGCGATAGATCCTTATATAAGGAATTCGAAGAATGTTGCGGAGAATGTTACATTCTCTACTTCTCTCTACTTTAAAAGCAAAATAAGTCCGTACACGTAAGTATATTTTAAATAACCAACTACTTCATTTCTCAGGAGAGAGAAAATACACACTTAACATACTATTAGTTCTCATCCTTTCGCACGCGTATAGTAGAGTTTGCCCCCATAGGTGCAGCAGCAATTTAAGCTGCAGACCCTACAAACGTATACGACGCTGCGAAAACCATGTGCAGAGAGCGAGGTGCAATTACACGTTTGCTCGCGCTGCTAACTTTTCGCCGCCCCAAACTTTAATGTACCTACGTCGAAAGACGAAGATGCGGGATGCCGTGAAATGAAATCTACGATAGTGGTATAAGCGGAATCGCCTACGCAGTCCCCACGTAATCCCAGCAACGTAATGCAACGGCTGTGCCACAGCGAGCGGCGCACAACCTGATTATGTCCATTTGTTGCCCACTCAAAACCCCCAGACGATATCGCGGAACTTAATCCACCTGAGTTAGTTGCGCGTGCTCGTACCTCGTGGGATCGTCTAAGATTTATCTTCTTGTGAAATATTTTCTCCCGGCTTTCCAACACACCGACTGAATCTCTCAGGTTCTTCCACGGTGCGCGTGTGAGACACAGAGACTATACGCCCACACTTTTCTCGGCACGATCTCGCTGCTTCGGCTATATCTCGAAGCTGGTTCCGTTTTACGTGTGCGGCATTCCCGCGGGTATGGCTTTGGATAGCTGCGACTGATAAACCGACGTATAAATATCCCCGACAACTTTGCATCCCGGCTATTTCGCGACGCGTTAAACAGAAAAAGGGGAAAAAGCTGGATGATAAAGATTCGTGTCCATCGGAAGTTCGCGATTTTCCGGCTGACCGCACGCGTCCATTTCGCGAGCGAGCGATTTAATTGGCTGGAACTGAAAGCTAATCGTTCACTGACGTTCGTAATGAAAAGGTTCCCATTAGTGAAGTCGTTCGCATTACTTTTACCATGAAAGAGAAAATTTTGATGTTGATGAGAGATCAAGGCGCGTCTATATCCTGAAATGTTGCATTTATATAGAGCACATTCCTATCCACAAAATCTTTTAATTTATGCTGCCCTTAGTTTGAAAAAAAAATTCAATATAAATCGCTAGTCACTTTTTTAGGAGATTGTGTTTTAGGCACTCTCTAAATTCTGTGGATTTCACTCTAAAGAGTGAGATTTTACTCTTCAGAGTGAGATTACTTTGAAAGTTTTAGAGAGTAACTACGCGAATAAAGGATAGTTTTATTCAGACAAATGTCTCAATGTACCTATGTCAGGATATTTACACAAAATTTATTATTAATCTCTCAAATATTTTTTTTTTATTACAATATTATAATTTTAGATTAAAAAATTACAATTAAATTATGATATATTAAATTTAAAAAAGCATTTGAGATTAATAATAATATAAACAACTATAAAGTTTTGTAAATGTCCGGACATAGCGTACATGTCCCTGGAACTTACCTTATCCCATACAACTTAAATACAGAATTTTGAATATGATAAATACTATTAAACACATTACACTTTTGAAACAGAAAATGTATAAATGCGCGATACGCATAACACGATACTATTAGGAAGAGACATTTTCGGGGACGAGTTTCGGGGCATCTTGAAGTGCAAGTGGTAACGCGTTTACTTAGTCAGACACGACTCTCCACTTTAGCCGGGATTAACGTCTGATAATAAAATGAAGTACAGAGGGATTAATTCGATTTCGCGGATGTTTCGCTTAATACACAGCCGACTGTCATTATCAGTTTCTCTGCTAGGTGTTAGTCTTTCCTCCGTAAGACCCGGGGCACGAAGTAGAAAGTTACTTAATCTTCTTACTACGCTTACCCTCGAGTCCGCCCGACGCCCGCCGCCTTAAACTTCGACTACTAGCATTTCAATGTATACGTATATTCACGAAACGTTAAGCTGTCGCTAAACCGTATCACAGGCGTTCGCGTCTTGCTCAACACTTTGCGAAGAATATAGATTGTACAGTCCATTAAGATTTTTCAGATTCTAATTCCATTAAGATTTTATTTTACAGGGTACTTATGTGAATTTGTTTATTAAATTTGCTTTATTGATATATTTAATTTTATGTATCCTTTTTTTTATCTTTACTTTAATTATGAATTCTTATTATTTTTATGTTCATGAATTTGTACGCGAATAAATAACAAAAAATAATATTATAAATGTCTAACGATTGCAGACAAATAGTTTTGTTTTAATAAGTTTCGAAATATTAAAATAATATTTATATTGCGATTTTATATTCTATAATATTGAATACGTTTCTCAAAAGTGAATAAAAATTTATCAAGAAAACTAAATGTTATAAACTCTTTCAACTATCAAAGAACTGAAAGCACAAAAGTAGTAGAACTCTTTGCAGAGTCAGACCATTTAGAGTTATAGTGAATCTGTTATTGCAGTTAAAACTTTCCTAACTATACAATGTGTTATGTGTTACGTAAGGATGTCTGAAAACAGTTCTGTTTAGAAATAACAATAAAAATATTTTTCAACAAAAGTTACCATGTAACAATTTAAATTTAAATACAAATAGTTACAGAGTTTATATAATTTAATTAAAAACTAAATTGCAGTGTTTCAATCAAAGACGTGTTAATAACGAATTACAATTCGCGAGGAGGTGAAGCTTTTCAATTTTTAACAGTGTTAACTTTCGTCAAACCGCGACAAGTATTCTTGCTCGTAGCGAGAACAGATATCGTACGGATTTGTAAAACATTCGATCCTCTCCACATTTCCTCTTCGCCTCTGTTCTTTCCATTTTCCTCTCTTTTACTGCATTTTACGTGCTTCTCTTTCATCGAGTGTACAGCACTCTGGATCTGAATATCTCGCTTTTTTAAAGGATCTTATCGCGGTGCAAACGCGACCACGTTGCGCCATAGCACGACGTCGAACACGACGGTACGTACGGTATATCTGACAGAGAGCTTGTTCGCGAGCGTGATATCGAATTGCGTAGTCATACGTGAAGGCAGACGGATGACGCATCCGATCGCCTGAGGAAATTCAGATCCTTATGTATCTACACGAGATTTTGCGAACTGGCGGCGACGGAGAGGTGCCGAGGGGGAGGGAGGGAGGAGGGAGAGAAGGGCGGAGGCGCAACTATACGTGCGAGTGCTCAAGAGGAATTTTCAGATCATGATCCACTGAGAAAGGAGGATGTGCACCGAGGAGCACGGTAGGATGGAGTACCTGGCATCGACGGATTCGTATTATAAATCCGTTCGCGGAATCTTCGTGGTTATTTCGTGGTAGATATTCCCCGAGATACGATTTCGTCGTATGCGAAATACGCCGATAATAATCGTCGTATTAGACCTCTTGTCACGATATCATACGTCGACATGTGCATTCGTGATAGACATTTCGCTTTTCGTTCTTCCCGTTATTAATCTATATCGCTATAAGTTATATATAAATGTACAGCGCACGCTATGACAGCGTACTGTGATAAGATCAAGAGAAAGATTAGTATACCAGTGTAAATATTGTAAAGATATATTCAGAGGAAAGCTCATGTAATACTCTATCAAAGCTCCGACAATAATTCTGTACTGCGCAATTCGCGTGCCATTGAAACGAGAAGTTCTCTCGACAGAGAGAACGGCGACATTATTCCGTCTCCTGAAGTTTCCATGGAAATGAATTCCGTGCAACTCTGCGATACTTCGTGTAAAGAAGACGCGACCGTGGTCAATGTCCCCAACTTATAACGAAGGGCTGCACGTGCCGTAGTTCGCGATCGGTCGATTCATCGGGGCAGAGAAGGTGGAGGTAAACTTTGCCGGCGGCATCGTACAGCTTTTTCATAATTGATCGTCCAATCGATACACTCTGCTATTCTGCTTTCAGGACTCGAGGCCGAGTTGTACTACGTTCGGGAAGGGGTGGTCAATACGTACGCGATGAATTTCGTCGTACCTGTGCCGGCAAACATAGCGGACCTAGAATTTTCATGGCAGAGCCTCATAGGACATCCGGTATGTATATAGATATATGTATCTAATTGTAAGACGCTTCTAGCGCAATCAAGTATCCAGCCCTACACAAAAAAAAAATGATTTTTCTGAAAGATTAAAAATTTTGCTGGATACAGATCTGTAATAATTTTAATTGTTGAACTATATCAAAATTATTTACATTTATTTATTTTTCGCAATAAATTATGTACAGTGTTTTAGACATGAATAATATTAACAACGTGCAATTGGCTTAAATCGGAAATTGTAAAAATTCATACAACATTATTAAACTCTAATACCTGGTTTGATCAAATATGGCCTACTTTCCATTCATTTGTTGAATATTTCTCGCTCCATTTTCATTTAACAAAATAATTATATAGGAAATTAAAAAATAATAAGTAATGCTGCAAAAAATTTTTATATTCTAATTATCAATTTGGGTTCTAAAATTATTTTCAGATTTATATCAATAAAATGTTAGATCTTTCAGCAAAATCACTCTCTCCATGTACGAATTATACTTAATATCGTTTTGACGTTAGTCTTGGTCCACAACTTTGGTTTAAGAGGCCATAAGCAGTAAGCCGAGGTTAAGTGATATTAATTTCTGCCTTTAAACTGTTTTTGCGCAGTTGGGCTTTAATCGTTAAATTTAAGCAAATTGAGCACAACCCAATTCTTACGGCCTAAAAGCGTAAGTTTTCTGGTGGACGTATCGTTACTTACAGCTTACGGCTTATGGTCTCTTAAAGGAAATTTGTGAACTTAGACTTCTTATTTCCATTCAAAATCTACTTGAAGCAAAAAGCTTTAGCTCTTTTAATATACAACGTATACGTCGTATGAAATTATTACAAATACATACAAGGAGAATTCCTTCCTTTGATTATGAAAGGAATCACGATTCGTATATTCGCGACTGTCGCCAAGGGATGTTAAAATGGATCTGCCGTGTGCTCGAGTAAAATGTTCCCGTCGGCCATTAACGAGACGCAACAATGCGGAACAAAGTAAACACGTGACCCGGCTGGAATGGTAACACACGGTATTCTCGTTTACGTTCCACTGCGGGTTGGTGGCCCGTCACGGTGGTTTACCGGGGGTGTTCGCCGAGGGTTAAGAGGGGCTTGGCATAGCTCGTGAGGGGTGAGGCACGACAGTGCAGGGCTGTATCAATACTCTATCAATATGAAATACAAACAGATGGCCTGGGCGTGAAAGAGACGGAGCAAGCCGGTGTACACCGTGCGGTTCAGTTTTGCGCTCCCTTCGGTCACCAAGGAAACCAAACGCGCCCTCGAAATCCCTCACGATATGGTAGAGAACGCGGGAAAAACGTGAAAAGTCGCGGTTCTCCCTCGATGGGATGTTAAACGACAAAGAAATCACGTTCTAACTGCTACAGCATTGATTCTGATTGCTATACCGAATTCTGCTAGTTATTATTCTGCTGATTAGCTTCAATCTATACATTATCATATTATCTCTTTCTGTCCAATTCTCTGGACGGTTATCATTAAAAATTATATTACTTCTATATACTCGATATTTGTAGTGATTTTGTAGAAATATTTAAAATAAAAACATCGTGTATCAATAATTACTTTAAGAATATAGATAATTAGACATTTTTTATTACTATTACAAATATTTTTTATAGTAGTACAAATAATAGGTTCTCGAAATATATACTTGTATGTTATATGTATATGTATATCTCAGCATTAAGTGAATTAATAAAATCTTTATATAAGATAACATACGAAAATAGAAGTTAAACCGATTACAGCTCGTATTCGCTCGCGTTTATTTGGTCACAAAGTTAAATGACGCCGACAAATTCTTTACTTGTCGCCATCTGTATGTTAATGAAACCCGTATCGCAAATTCATTGAATCCAGGGATTTTCAGCGTCCATAAAAGGCCGATATGTTCACGCTATGAATCCCACTTGATTGTTAGAGGTGTCGCTCTATCGTTGGAAAGACGTCCATCCACTCGCTCGTAGATGTATAACATATGTCTAGTACCATTACGGTGGACGCTTTATTGCGAGAATACCACGGCGACCCATCTTATCCCGCAAGGGAGTGTTTTCCAGTCCTCCACTTCTACCCGCTATCTCGTGGACCTATTCGCAGGTTCGTTAACTGCGAAATCGCACCATTTCCGTGATCACGGAGCTGTCGTTTCGCCTTATCTTTTGTTCACTTTCGACACGACGGAAGAGTTTTGCTGCTGAAAATGGTTGGAGTCGACGAAAGAATAGAAGGATGGTGTGCGTAACGGGACGAGAACCAGCACAAAAATTGGTCACTTAATTTTGTGCAATTCTACGATAACTATCCATTAAAAGAGTTTGTGCGGACGCTTTATTGGTTCTAAATTGTTTGAACAATACTTATATAATTGTTAAATTATTAATTGAATGATCAATTGAATTGAAATGTTGAATTATTAACTAGAAGCAAAGTAAATATAGTATATAGTAATTCTAAATTATCTTTAAAATCTAGAGAAAAGTAGAACTTCTTAACTGCAGGCATATTCTTTTTAATATTCTTTTCTATTATTAAAATATTTTTTTAAATATTCGATATTAACTGAAAATAGGTCGAGAAAAGTTTCTTTTCTCTTCTCTGTCTTTTAAATATTCTTTTTCTGTTTCTTCTTGGAACTTTTAAAACTTTTTAGAACTAAATTTTTTTCGTTTACGTCATACGTTGCGTTAGGAATTCAGAATGCTAATATCTTAAGTTAAACATTCTTTGAGAAGAAAGTCTATAAAGAGATTTATCAATAAACTCATAAATGGAAGACAGGTGATGCATGTGCAAAACGTTAAAATGCATTCGCGAAACTCTGATATATGTTAAAAATTTCTTGCCGCTTGCTAAAAGCGAAGCAAATTTCGTCCAAACACATTTATGCACGTTGAGATATGATGCGCCTCATGGCGCATTCAGTAGCAACTCGATTAAACGTAGTGTTATCTGGTTTTATCGGTCTGTCCTCGGAACAAAAACTTCTTTTCCTCTATCAGGGGAACGTTACATATCCATCGTGATTCTGACTCACCGGAATACCACTCAGTTTTCGCGTATCTGCATCCTGTGATCAGATGAGAAGATCTCTCGTAGGATATCGATGTACGTTCCAACTAATCCGGTCATCTGGACCGCCGAGTTCGATCGATGAGTCACGACACTTTGTTACTCGCTTTATCCGACGGTTTCATCTATCGAGTAGTAGTTCCCTACGAATGAATTGATCGCATATCGCGATGGCACTCTCTGTTCGTGCATAATTCCACTGGTATTCCGGTCGCGAAATGTTGGAATCGCGTCGACGAGTTGTTGACGGCACGAACAGGAAGGAAACGCTATTTTTCACTTTTAACATGTTTCATCGGTAAGATTGCCCTCGGAAAACGTCACCGCGGCAGTGAAAAATGGAGCGAAGCGAGAACCTGGAGAAAAGCAAAAAGAGATCGCAAAGTAACACAGAGGCGGAAGCAACTTCGAGCGATAGCACCCTCGATTAGGTTCTCGATTCGTACGATGAATCGGGATATTATGCATTTATTTCTTCCATCTTTTCTTCTGTTCTTGACTCGTCGCCTGCAGCGAAACGAGAGTTATTGGTTGTTCTGCGCAAGGATATAGACTGAAACGAAGTTTCTCATCGGCGAGGGATGGCGTCATGCCGAATCGGGGATGATTTGTGAATCATCCACTTGTTAGGCAAAAGTTTCGCGCTACTTTTTTATCCCTCGAGTTGGGGTATGGCGATAGGGTCGTGGAAAACGTGGAAGGGTGTCGCAGTCTGGCGGTATACACGATATTGTTCTATTCTGTTCTCGATTCTTTCTCTCTCTTCTCTTTCTTCTTCACGAAGCTAATCTTTTTTTTCATATATCTTATGTTATTTTCTTTTACACATTCTTATTTCGCTCATATTTTCCATCTCCTGTTTCTGCTTTCCTAAGTAGGTATCATATTTTTTCCTTTCTCTTGTTTCTTCACTCATTTTTCCTTCGCCTTGCTTCCTCCCGCATCCTCGTCCCATCTCCGAGATCGGGTTGGGAACTGGGGTGGATATAGGGTCGTCTGCGATCTCCCCAGGGCGACAATTACTTGTAATACCGTTGGTCTCTCGGGGCCGATGGGAACTCGATGGGGCGTACTTTCCGTAAGAAAAAAGGATATTACTGCAACCCACATCGAGTCCGGCGCCGCACCCCTTACGCACGATCTGTCGCCCTTGTTTTATCACAGTTGACGTGTCTGATGATCTGTCAGGGACCTCTTTTCAATTAGACGTGCACATGTCCTGTCTATCTCATGCGAATGGCGTTTTTATATAATTGAAATGCAGCATTTATCATAAGATGTAGTTTTGCATTTGTCAAAACAAATTATTGCAAAAGCTATATCGTCATAAATGAATTACTATTAATGATTTGTATTTTACATAATATTTTTAAATCTTCAACGTAGTTTAATAAACATTAATTTAATAAACATTTAAATAAATCTTAAAAATTAGGCATCTAAATGGCTACTAATTAAACAAAAATTCACAGACGAATTTTATTAAAAAATATGATTTAATGGAAAATTGTTTCCCCAACTCTGATCCGGATATTAATGTTATGACTATCAAAATGAAATATACGCTATAAACTTTTGATTTCTAATGTGGAATAACGTTGCATTAAATTTTTGCTCAAATTCTCGTGAGAATCAGATTAATCCAATATTCGCCTGGGAACATATCCCTTAACTACTAAATACCAATTTGCGATGTACTCGGCGGACGTTCGCTTTGTCGAATGACGCGTCCACGTACCATCGAATTCCGGCCACTTCCGTTAATTAATGAAATCCGAGCTGCGGCTCATTCATCACAGGCGATCGTACGCGTCCGCATCGGAACAGGCCGTATCTCGTCGCGAGCGTTCCGATATGTATGCATGGTGTAAACGACGCGCGTCCGTACGCCTTTACGGTGCG